TATGGCTTGTTCGTCAAGGAGCACTAGAACAAATCAATATGTGATTACCCACAATTTCTACTGATATCATCAAAAGGGAACTTTAATAATGTAAATTGTTACCTTTTTCTAAATAACGTTTAAATTTGTTCATGTTTCTAGTTGATGAACTAGAGTCGATAAGCACCCTATAAAATATAAATCGCAGCTCTTTCGCATCTCTCGTTGTAATATGTGTATTAATTGTACTTGTTTTTTTTTGGCTTATATGAATTTTCTCCTAAAATATAATTGCAAGAAGAATAAAGCTCACAATAATATTCTAGTCATGGTGTAGGTACGTAAGTTTGTTTCGCCGAATTTCCTTAACATGTTTTCAGTGCAATCGATAATACTTAATTTATTATTATTAAAATCATTCGGTCGAAGAAATTATGAAAAATATATTGTATGGAATAAGACTTTGTCTTTGCTTGATCTCATTCACGTTATTTTAAGACTAGCATTGACCTTTTTTATTACATTTATTCAGTTTTATTTTTTATACCTGAAAGAGTAGCTACAATTGGCACGTGAGTCCAGGCTCTACCTCTTCGAATTTCTATGAAGATTTTCGCTTTTCGACTAAAATTTCCGCATCAATTGCATTTTTCATCATCGAAAAATGGACATTGTTTTGCACCTTCGTTGTTCGTTTTTGGACAGTGAACCTGGTCTACTTTAAAATATAGGAAATCAAGTTTAAAATTGGCTGGTTTTGTTTGCATTTCTGTTGACGGAATTGAAATATTTTGAATGAAAATATTTTATTCAGAGTTCATTATATTTACATTTCTCGATCTCGAACCAATGCACATTTTTGTTTCTTTGCTATCGAATATGTTTGTTAAAGAAATGCGTTCAATTGATAGATTTAGCCGTGATATAAATATAAAACTTTAAACAAACCAAACGCGATATTTGCATATAATTAATTAGACAAATTTGCTTTATCAATGCCATTTTTTTATGTTCAGCTCACTTGGCGCACCGAACTAATGTAGCGATTTTTATTTGAATTTTCAAACCTAGTTAAAATATGAGCGGGTAAACAGTTCTGTTTGCTTTTAAAACTGCGCTTACTACGTGCAAATTTAACAAGGGGGTATTGCAAACATGCGGCTTTTATGGCACATTTAAAAGTGTACAACAATCCAATAAACGGGTTTTATTAACTCGACTGTGGTCAGTATCAAATGAAATTGATGGTGACTTAATTAAGTTTATAAATTTGTTTGGAAAATAATATAAAATTGTGGTTGTTGATTTTTTTAACGGGTTTATTAATTAAAAGTATTAGTTGTGATCGATTTATGTTGCCAATCGGCGGTAATTCTTAGAAAAAAAAAACGTGGGCTTGGAGATTGTAAATCTATTGCTGGTTATAATTTGTATAGATTTGTTTTGATCGTTTTATTAGAAAGCAGTACAATTTGATGGTCAACAATATTCTTGAATTTTGGAAGCAACTAAAACTCCGATTTTCTTGCCAAACGTCTATTAAGGACAGAAGTTTCAAATATTCTTGTAACGATACGCAAATTGCAAAGTTTATTTTTTTAGACGCAGATTTTATGCAATTTCTAGGGTTGCACTCATTTAATATTCGTTCCTTTAATAAACTGTTCCCCTAAGCTAATAGTCGCAAGTCTTAAATGTGAGGGCAAATTAATGAATAAATCAGGTTATGAAATGTGCGTAAAGACACAGGAAATTAGAAAGCTTTTATTCCAGAAACCGATAAACTTTTTTCCTCTACATTTTATGTTTAAGAAACAACTTCATTTAAATTTTTTTTTTCGATTGAGATTGGTGAGTTTTGCGCAATAACGTTTTACATTAGTTACTACTAAAAATTGTTTTACGCTCTTTGAGATTACTTTACATTGAAGAAAAAGTAATTATCTGAAAGGAAACAGTGAGCCGATAATCGTATTTTAGTTAGTTTCTTAGAAGTTTACAGACAATCTACTAAGCAATAATTAAAGGGAATTTTTATACTTACGTACTATCTCCACTTTTAAATATTCAATATCGACTTATTTAGACGTATACATATTTTTCCGGTTGTCTCAAAAAATATCAAATCTCATTTTGTTCAATTTTAGCAAATAATCATATTTCTTTTAGATTCATGTGATTTATATAGTCTTGTTTTACATAATCAAAATAAGTAATCAATTTAGCAATTTCATTATTAAAAAACTGCGATACGATGCAAAAATCTAATGGTGGAATCCTTTCTCAGTTAAAATGTATTTTGACTTTTCGTCAATTTGTTAGGAATTAAAATATTTAGCGATTTTTTATAATCCATAAATCTGCGCTTTTAAAAAAGCAAAGTTTCCTGATACAGCTAAGACCTTCAGACTAATGTGCGCTTAAAATCCCAAACCTGAGATTAATTCCATCTTTGTCATTACCGGTTAATACCCTGAAAAAACTGACCAATCAGAAATTTTTATTCGGAAATATTATGGAAGCGATGTAGTTTTTATCGATTTTTACCATCGATTGATTAATATACTTTTTTATATGTAATAATTCTACTAACATATAAGCTAAATATTCGCCAATCGGAACTTATTTGTCTACATATTATTTGTTTTTGTTGTTAAATAATAGAGTTAAATACAAATTAAATATTTTACTAAATAAAATGGCTTTGATGTTGGTTGCTTTGGATGAAAATTCTTCAGGAATGAGTCATAACACTTGCAAACAACACCCAGATTAGACATGATGACAGAGTAAAGGAATAGAGGAACGAATAAATAGTTTTAGAGAAAATATAGGTTGAATAAAGATGGAACGAATAAGATTATGATTAAAATAAGAGTTTGAAATTCTGCAATCGACAATGTTAACTGAAACGCCACAGTCATAATTTATTTCTGGGTTTTTCTGCATTATTTAATTAGTATTTATGCGCGGTTTTGTAATAAATAAAACCAGGCAGGATTCATCAACGATTGGAACAAAGTTTAAATAATTCGAATAGTTCTAATTTGCTCAGAGTAGATTTCAAGATGTTGGGACAACTTTTTTGCATACTATTGTTTTGGAATGCCTTTATTTGGCACTCAAAAGTGGACTGTATTTATTATTATTATAATTATAATGACGACCACTGGGTGTTTTTTACGATACTTTATTTGTGCTTTTTTATAATCGAGTCTCTATCAACAACTACTTTTTTGTTTTTAAACAACAACCGTTGCTACTGGTATCTCGAGCTTCAATTCTTTAAATTCTATTCTCAATTATTTTAACAGCACTAACGATTAACAATTCCTTAACAACTATAAATACTTTTTCTCAGCCGAATTTCGAAATGTGAAAACTTCCTTGTAAGTAAGGTAAAAATCGTGCTGTATGTAATATTTTGTGGATTTTCTTCTTTGAGTGTAGCCACACTGCAATATTTACTGAGGCGAACGTGTTGGCGCTTAATTCTAAATTTACTAACATTAAAAAAGTGCCAATATTAAATTTATTGCCGAAACAGTTTTTAACAGAAATTTTTCTTATTATCACATTTTTACATTTAAATATTTCATTATAGGTATACTACTGACCTGGCATATCACTTGAACTTGTTCAAAATTTAACAAATGGCTTGTGGAAAAGGAAATTTTATACCCAAATAACGTTTGTAAACATTTCACCTAACCGTTTTTCTCTAAAAGATTTATGAACAGTTATCCAGCCAGCCAAGGCTTTAAAAAGTAGACAAGAAGTTTGCCGCCGTGAAGAGTATTAAATTTTAAATCTCTTAAACACTAGCAAGCCTAAACCGCAGGAGAAAATAGGATTTGAATTTGGGGATTTTATCTTCGTGTTTCTGGGAAGCTGCAACTTGCCAGTTTTGTATTGTTGAAAGTTTCAATAACTTAAATACTGTCCGTTCACGAGCATAGTTGAAAACCTTGTATTTCTTCACTCACTTGAGTCAATAATTGCTAATGTTTGTACCGCTGCAAGCAGGCGGTATTAAGGAAGGAAATGTGAATAATTAATGCTAGTTGATGATGCTGGTAGTCAATTTGTAATTCGGATCGATTTGGTATCCTTCCGAGCACAGGAGAGCAAACTAAATAATTCTAACGGAGTTAGTAACGCTGTTGCAGTCGCGGTAAATCTAATGTCCTTCTCATACAAGCAGGTAGATTAAAGAAAAAAAATTAAGTAATTACAGGCTAGAAAACTTAGTGTCCTTCTCGCAACATGCAGAGTGCATTTAAAATGCAGTAATTGTGGACAAATTGTAGCTTCGGTGCCAGCAAAATGGAAATTTATTCTCTTGCTCTTTGTTTAGTCAATTCAAACTAACTTAACTTGGCTAATTTCTTTTCGTAGCGTAGTAGACATAAATGGCGCTTCATTCGGATTCTTTTAATTTTATGGAATGTTTTTGATCAATTAAACTATCTGTTTCATAAATGTTTAATGCTGATTTTTTACTTTTTAAGTAAGAAAATTGCATTGACTAGAATTTCGGCTATTAGTTGATACGCTTAAAGTTGTGATTTAGAAAGTGTGGTCTTTTCAATTTTGGTATGTGAAATAGGCCTAACTCTAAACTTTTAATAGTTTCCAGATGACTTGAAACATAACTGGGTGGAGAGTTGGATTTTTCTGATGTATTTCCTATCGTGCGCTTTGCGTTTTATCCGTGTATCTTTTGGATTCTGTTAAAAATGAAAATATTCTTCATATCTTTTCATGTCGGCATTATTTAATTTTCTTTATACTTAATTAATTAAATGTTCTGATGAGAAGCCTTTGATGTTGTTTTGAATGTTTTTTTTTCAATCACTTATTGTATTTTTTTTTTCAGGTAAGACATTTTTCAACTAATCAGGCGGCAGTAGAGTCACACAAACTATGAGTTCGGAGAATGTGAGTAAAAATGTTTATTAGAATAATATATTATATAATTTATTCTGAAATAACATGGGAAATACATTGACTTACATTTATAAAAATGTCAGTGTAAAAATGCAATAGTCCATTTTGCGTATTTAAGAGAAAATGGAAACTAGTAAGTAGGCGGAAACGAATATTTAAAATTGCTTACAGCGTGTTTGTCAGAATGTTGTTTTCATTCTGTCTCTTTATCTTAATTTAACTGTTTGTCCTATTCTGATATCGTTATTAGATTATTTCACTTTACAGTCGAACGTTAAAGCATTCGATTCTAAACCGACACTTAGAAATAAATTTGTTTTTTAAACTTAGCAATAATAATGCAGCCATAAGACAGAAAAACGTACTACTTTACATAAGCGTTAACGATTGAAAAATACAAATTTAAACAAAAAAATGAATATTATAAATATGAAATAACTTAATATCAAGTCACTTTTATCACAAGAATTTTCTGATTTTTACGATGACATCAATGTTCAAATAATACATCGTTTGTATTCTGTTTGTGATTTGTTGGGCATGCAAAGCAAATCCACATTGAATGTTTTATCAAGTTTAGAGATCACATCACCAGATAAAACTATTTGCCAACGTTTAAATTAGAAAATAAAAAATAAACTATAGTATGTGGACGACATGAAATAGTACGTTTTAGCTGAAATACTTTAATTAACTACTACTACTAATTAACTTTAGTCTAGCAGATAAAATGTAGACTGATTACAGGTGAAAAAATTGTTTAAAAGATGAAAACGGATGAACAAATTCAGCATGAATCAAACAAAGAAAAATCATAAGAATTTTTTTTTGTCTCGCTATTATTTTTGCAAGATTTTTTAGCTACCAAGCGTTCGGCAATTTATTGTCGCCATCCTCAGGGTTCAGGGTACTAATTGTTTGACCATAAGAAGACCGGGAACCGTCCAGGATATTCTATCATTTTTTGTATCTACAGCTTGATGAAATATGTAATCTTTTAGTTACATTGTTTGGTCATAATTTCTTTGTCTATGATTACACAAAACATTTATTTACGATCAACATGTTTTTCTGCAGAAATAACGAAACAGACTACATTAAATACAAATTGATGATGAGCTGAAAGCAGCTAATAACAATGCAATTGTTTTTGTCTCAGCTTTGATTACTTTGATTTTATATTATCTCGTCCCAATTTATATGGTAAAATATTTATAATTTGTTCTGAATATCTTACTGTCATTTTATCGTTTCGTTTTATATCATAATTTGTTTGTATGCAAGTCTTTTTTATAAAACTGTAAAGTATTTTGAACTTTCGTCAGACTAAAAATCTATTCCAGACATTATTAGTCTAGGTTTTGAGATAATTTGGGGCCATTTATTAGGCTTTGCTCATGTTTTCCCACCAGAAACGGAACATCTTGTTGACCAATATTTTTAGTTCGTTATTAGCTAAAACAATAAGAAATTCTCGGGCGCCTTCAATAAATAGTAAAATTTCTAATTTTTTTTCTTTTTTAGGTACCTTTGCAAGCAAAGGTTCCTAAAGTTCTTCCTTATTAGTTTGTCCATAGCGACAGAAAGTTTTTATTGTGTATGTTATTCCGCTGCAAAAATCTTGTAATTTTATGTTTTTTGCGATTACAAGATATCATGAATTTATTATAATCCTTTGAAGAACGCATTGTCAATATTTGTTCTTGACTGAATTAAAAAGTTTTGTAAAGTTGGGCATAGTTGTATAATCAAAGAAAAATTAGAGCTCAATTTGCGTTTCAAATTCTTTTAAAAAATACTCTCATTTGGACATTATTCCGAATGACGAAAAAATAATATGCAGTTTTCTATTTATTTCAATATATTTTTTTATATGAAGGTGTTAGTGCAGAAAGTGAACAAATAATTCATGAAAAAAACTCATAAAAATAAAGCCTCGAAAATCAATTGACAATATTCATCAATTCGTCCCACATTTCGAAATATTCCCTCTATGTACAAAGTCATCGGTAAATAATGGACCCAAGAACAATCATAAATTCCATTTTCAAAGTAATACGATTTCAACCACTTGGCTTTACAAAAATTTTAGTCCTTAGATATACATATACGGCCTTAGCAAGCCAAGCACGTTTTTAAGTTTTTCTATTGTTGTTTAATGTATTTCAGGCAGTCGAAGACATCACGTTTTTGTGAAAGTTAGAAGGAAAGTTAAGGATAACTGTGCACCTTTTTAATATAACGACTTCATTTTAGTTTGAAAAAAAATGCAAATAATAATAGTATTTCCGAATCCGAAAATTATTCTCAAAATCCTATTTTGCCTCATTAATAAACTCAAGAATGCTATTTAATCGATGAAAAATTAAGTCTCTTCTAACATTTGCACGGTCCAGAGGTTGCGATTGAAACATTCAAACTATTGATTCAAATTTTAAAATAGTGTCAAATCGAGAAGTTTAATTCCCTTCGCATGCATTCTAGTTTAGATATTCCCGAAATTAAATGTTGCTCTTACAAAAGACATATTCTGTTTATACTGCAGATAATAGATCGTCTACTTCACCCTGAACTCAGACTTTTATCGTATTAAAACGTCTCTGATATAAAAATTTCGAATTTAATTGGAATACTCTCCAACCATGACTTTCAAGTACATTTGAAAGGCTGAGCCAGAACTTCGACATCCAAGAGTAATTGGTATCTCTTTGTTGAAGAAGGATGCACTTGTTGTAGATAATTAATGACTTTCACGTGGTGCTTGATCAATCTATATGGCTAATATGTGCATTAAACAATGCATCAATCTCGTGGCAAATTTAAACTAACTTTCAAAGCTGAATTGCATTTAATATTAATTATCGCACTTGTTCGTCGCAAATTTGCATTGCTCTTCTCTGGCTATGTCGTCCGATATTATTTTCATAGACAGCAAATCAAATAAAATTATGTTAATATCTAAAGCAAATCGAATATACCATCCTACCTGCACATGTTAACTATTAGGATCATTAATTAATTAAGTTTCTGCAGTTTTTTAAGTTGCGTTTAAATTTCCGATGTTTTTATGAAAATTAAAGTGATTCCCAAATAAATCGTTTAGTCAACGGTATAAAAATAAAAAAATGCATTTACATAAACCGCACCGGTCTTCCAGACGAGCTTTTTCTTTCGCATCCAATTAAAATTCCAACTCTCCCGAAGGCTTTCTCAGATAATTCCACGTTTCCGGTTTACATAAGGTCCTCTTATCCAGATGGATCAGAAGCGCTCGAGTCAGGCAATAGGGTAGTCTGAAATCAACTAGTTGTTTTATCGATTACTGTAGCTCTATTATAACGGAAACATGCCCTATTTTCCGTCAATCTAATTCATTGCGAGTGGAGAGTTTAGAAGAGATTCAGTTGCAATTTGATTTTTGTGGGGTGACCTGTATTTATTATTATTTATTATTATTTGTTTGAATGTAAATTGAAGATTCCAAAAACCGACGTTATGCAATATGTATTACAGATTTTAAGACTAGTCTCTAAACCTGACTTCTTAATAAGTCAGCTGAACTTTGGCTCGATCTGGGTAAAAGGTATGAAAATTTTATAAAGCGGATAACCTAGGACTAAAAATTTGCAGTTTAAAAAAATTTACCACTGTTCCGTCCTGGAGAACCCGCAGTTTTTAATAGAAAATGTTTAACTGGTAATTGGGACAATTTTTCTAAAAGCAAACGTAAATCTGAGCTACTTTAAATCGCCCGAAAAATCATAACAGTTAATACATCAAATCCCGAAGCTGCGGTTAGTAAAAATTGTTATTGCCCGATTTATATCATTTAAAGTCTAATATTTGGCAAATAAGTCTTGAGCTCTACGCTTTTGTGCCTAAATTGCTTTAATATGCTGAGTAAGAGGCCTTAGCCTTAGAGGTGCGGAAAAGTACCTGCCCCTTAAGTGACTCCTAACATTAAAGTTTTGAACCTCCTTAGAGTGAGACCTTTTTGATTCTTTGGCCAGCGTTTCAGTCCTGAAAGGTTAATAAAGCTTTTAATAATTAATCTCGAAAGCGGCTGAAAATATCTGAATGGTCGTAACAACCATTGTGATAAAGCGCTCCAAGTTCCATCTTCTCGCGGTTCAACAGCTGCATGAAACGCTTACTTATTGCATCATGTAAACGATTTGAAAATCCATATTGTAGAATCGAGCACAAACTTCAAATTAAACATACAATCCCAAAGTTGCCATCATTCGTTTTAGGAGATTACTCATTTGGAAAGTAGAAAAAAATGAAACAAGGAAACATTTTAAGAGTCTGCTTTTTTTTTGTTTTTTTTAGCTCTTGGAAATGCTTTTTCAATGTTTTTATCAAGGATTATTTAAAAATTGGACTCTGGAAAAGTTCAGATTATAAATGTTTAACAGAAAACTAACACTGCTAGTCATACGCATAAATTTGCTCACAAACATATATATCATCTTACAGTTAAAATGTATAACACCGTTGAACATGCATAAAGTATACTTTCCTTATCAAGACCCTAAATACGTCCAATAATATTTTCTTTACTGGAAGTAAAATTGATTCTTCGGAACAAAGTGGCCGCAACTGCACAGATATTACTTAATTAAGTCATCCTAAAAAATGGTTTTACGATTTTTTTTATTTTGATCTATTTAAGAAACTTAGTATCAGGTAAAGTAAGTAATAGTGTGACGGAAAAGTGCGTCTCTACTGTTTTCTCGACGATTATATGCATAGTTTTTTCTCACTGCTTGTTTTCAACTTTTTTACTCTCAAACATTACGCGGCAAGAAAAATTGCCAAGAAAAAACTTCCGTACCCAAATGATCACAAAGTCGGAAACTGGTTTTTATTGAAGCAAACTCAAGAGCTTTTCACATCAAAAACTATCCGTTTTATAATTGTTTTGAACAGCTGGCAACTCAACTACTACAACTGTTCGATATTAATTTGGTTTGGGCATGTGAGAACTT